GAAGCCATTCCCCCTTGTCCTGTCACCCCAGTTCCTGCTGTGAGGTTTCCCTAGCCTTTGTCCTGTCTTCTTTCCCCCAGACAACCTTCCTGAACAAACATCTCCAGCACCTGATGGACGGTTTGACGGCCAAGGTGTTCAGGACCTACAACGCCTCCATCACCCTGCAGGAGCAGCTCAAGGCCCTCACCAACTGTGAGTTACACTCTGGTTGGGCTCTCACCAGCTGCTTCACATGGCCAGTGGGCTCAGAAATGTCCACTGGGGTCCCAAGAACTGTCCCCCCTCCCCCTTGGCACCACCTTGTAGGGCAGGACGTAACTTATGGGATTGCAGCACTTCCAGGGCAGCAGGTTGGGAACCACAGTGAGAAATAGTTAACTCAGGAATACTCTGACTAATTTCGAGCCAAGGTGGGACTGTTTGTCTCTCCCTTCCTTGTTTTGCTGGTTGGTTGCACGATTTTTGCCTCCTGGGACACGTGAGTGATGAGTCACAGCGGCAGATTGTGGTGCTCGGTTGTCCTTCCCCAATTCCCACACCCCTTATCACTCTCCCTGGAGAAAAGATGGGAAAGGCAAATGCCTTGCTGTTGTTCTGCCTTCCCTAAATCCCAGGAAAGAGCCTGAGTGATGCTTTCATTTATTCCCAGCTGAGGACAACGTTGCTGGGAAGCTCCTCTCCTACAACCGAGCCAACCGCGCTGTGGCCGTGCTGTGCAACCATCAGAGGTCCGTGCCCAAAACCTTTGCCAAATCCATGGAAATCCTGCAGACCAAGGTGAGAGAGAGACCAAGCTGAGAGCCCTCAGGCCTGATCTCACCCTCTGAGTTTTATTTTTGGGATGGGGGGGAGAAGGTGATGCCCAAAGATCAAGTCGATCAAGCTCATTGGGGAATGAAGTGGGAATAGTGGAGCTTAATCAGTGCAGAGCCATCAGTGCCCAGGGTGGAGAGGGATGGGATAAGATCCAGGATCAAATGCAGAGTAAAGCTCACTTGGCACAGAATTTGGGTGAGTTTTTGTGGTTTTGGTCTTTTTTCATCACTTGGTGCCTGCAAACCAAGCTCTTTGTGACACCACGGCTCTGGCACAGCTGGCTCAGGAGTAGGGAAACTGGTTTTCCTGTCCTGACTGCAGGAGGACCAGCTGGAAACTTCATGGATCTGCTCTGGAAATGCCTCAGATTACCACTTTTAATTGTCCTCACCTTTTGCTCACACTCCCCTGAGGGACTGGGACTGTCACAAACCAGTTGGTCTCAGGCAGTGGCACAAGATGCACGGATTTAGGAGCTCCAAGTGTTTCTGGAATCTCTTGGCAAGATTCGAAGAAATGCTTGAGCCCAGCAGGTGCTGCAGGGACAGGTTTTTGGGACTGGGGTAGGGCTGGTAAGAAATTAAGGAATGGTGTGGGAAGGGGAAAAGGGAGGCAGCTGAAACCTCCAGGAAAGACAGGAGTGTGGTCTGACTTTCTTTTCATCTTCCCAGATCGATGCCAAGAAGAAACAGGTGGAGGAAGCCCAGCAAGAGCTGAAAAAAGCTGAAGATGAATTGGAAGACACAAAAGATGCCAAAGCAGAAGCGTGAGTGGCTCTTCCTTGGAATCCTGTCTTGCAGAGGGATTCTCCGCACGGAGAGCCCGTGGGTGGGGATGGTTTGGTCCAACACCCTCCTGGCAGTTCAGGAGAACAGGAATGCCCATGGTGGGGGGGTATCAGGTGCCTCTTGGCCCATGGAAGTCTGGAAGATGGTATTAGATCATGTGGATGGTTCCTTCCACTAGAGCAGGTTGCTCCAAGAACCATCCAACCCAGCCTGGAACACTTCCAGGGATGGGGCAGCCACAGCTTCTCCAGGTAACCCATCCCAAGGTTTTGAGGGTGATGGTCTCTGGATGTTGGATTTTGTGTCTGCCCATCTTTGGTGGTGGGAATGATATTATTTTATATTAAAAAAAAAGCATCTCATCAGGTCAAAGTCCTGGAGAAATAAGTCAAGATTCTTTTGATTCTTCCATTCTGGAATATTTCTAAGCTTAGGCCTTTCCTCTGTGTTTTTTCTTCCTGTGCCCTCAGGAATGTGGAGAAGAAGAAGAAGCTGCTGAAGAGGCTGGAGGAGCAGCTGGCCAGGCTGAATGTCCAGGCCACAGATAAGGAGGAGAACAAGCAGATAGCTCTGGGCACTTCCAAGCTCAATTACCTGGATCCCAGGATTAGCATTGCTTGGTAAATCTTGGATGTGCAGTCATGGAATGGTTTGAGTTGGAAGGGACCTTGAAGCTCACTCGGTTCCAACTCCCTGCCATGGGCAGGAGCACCTTCCACTGTCCCAGGTTGCTCCAAGCCCTCTCCAACCTGGCCTTGGACACTTCCAGGGATGGGGCATGACAGTGAATCCCAAATTATGGCTTCCAGTTGATACAAATAACTGGATTTAGGGCGAGAGGGGGTCACTTGGCAAGTCTTCAACAGTGAGTTATTTGCTTAAGGAACTTGGGTTGGAGATGCTGCACCTGGAGCGGGGAGGACACTGAATCACAGAATCCCAGAATCACTGAGGTTGGAAAAGACCTCCAAGATCATCAAATCCAACCTGTGATCCACCCCCTCCTTGTCCCCCAGCCCAGAGCACTGAGTGCCACGTCCAGGCCTTCCTTGGACACCTCCAGGGATGGGGACTCCAAACCTCCCTGGGCATCCCATTCCAATGCCTGACGACCCTTTCCATGAAGAAATTCCTCCTGATGTCCAAACTGACCCTCCCCTGGTGCATCTTGAGGCTGTTTCCTCTTGTCCTGTCCCTTGTTCCCTGGGAGCAGAGCCCGACCCCCCCCAGCTCCTCCCTCCTCTCAGGGAGTTGCAGAGATCCAGAAGGTCCCCCCTGAGCCTCCTTTTCTCCATGCTGAACCCCCCCAGCTCCCTCAGCTGCTCCTCATTTATTCTCCAGACCTTCCCCAGCTCCATTCCCTTCCCTGGACACACTCCAGCCCCTCAATGTCTTCCTTGTCACGAGAGGCCCAAAACCCACCCCAGGATTTGAAGTGTGGCCTCTCCAGTGCCCAGCACAGGGGGACAATCCCTGCCCTGCTCCTGCTGGTCACGTTATTTCTGATCCAAGCCAGGTGCCACTGTCCTTCTTGGCCACCTGGGCACACCTGGCTCATGTCCACCAGCATCTCCAGGTCTCTGCCCCTCCAGCCTGGAGCACTCGGGGGGGGGGGGTGGTCGTTGGGCCTGGGGAGTGTTGGAACATCTCCCTGAGGTGGGAGGTACCAAACACACCCCGTGTCTTGTGCTCCTCACAGGTGCAAGAAGTTTGGGGTGCCCATCGAGAAGATCTACAACAAGACCCAGAGGGAGAAGTTCGCCTGGGCCATCGCCATGGCCAACGAGGACTTTGAGTTCTGAGCCTGCTTCCACCTTCAATCCTTCATCTGGTGCTGCTGGAAAGCTTCTTTTATTTTTTCCCTGCTACTGCAGGGGGCTGAGGGGTTGTCCAGGAGAAGAATCTGATGCCTTTTTTGTAAAGACAGAAGAAAACCTCTGGTTTCTTTTCGAGCGGGTTTTGCTGATTGTGACCCTTGCCCTGAGTGACTTTGAGGGAGCTCCTGATTCATCCTCGGAGCTGCCAAGTGCTTGGGATTTTGTTTTTCTTTTTTTCCTTTGTGAAGAAGATTAAATGAGAGCCTTAACTGTGCTGATAAACAAGCTCTAGTTTAATCCTGTCTCCTTGATATGGTTGGAGCCCTTTTTGAATTGGCTGGGTGGGAAATACGAGGCGGTGACAGTGCCAGAACAGGTTTAAGCTGCTCTGTCAGACCCAGGCTTGGATTGGGGGTGAAATGAGAGGGAGGGGAAAATCTCAGAGTTCTACATTTCAGGGGGTTTTGTGCCCTTTCACCTCCAGGAGAGGAGAAAGTTGTGCAGGTGCAAGGATGTGAAATGAAAAAATGTGGGAGGGAGGAGAAGGATCCTGGATTAAAAAGCAGCTTCACGTTGCAGGGGGATAAAATTCACCTTGGCATGAGCCAAGTGTACTTTAACCACCCCTAGGTGGGTGAATCTTGGTCTGGGAGAGAACATCTCACTTGGGAATGTGGCAGGTTTTTTTATCCCAAATTCCTTCAGTTGGCTCTGTCTCAGTTTCTCTGGGACACAAACTTAAACTGCCCAGGCACGGATTTAGGGAATGGGTCATTTCCTAGAAAACAGGCAGTAAGGAAAGATGATGCTGGGCCAGACTCTTGAGTGTGCTGGAGGAGGTGGTACAACCTTCCTGGAGCTCTTCCTGTGTTGGGATGACATTCCAACTGCTGCAGGGACCGACAGCACCGACCGCTTGTGCTGCTTTTGACCTAATTAGCTGGTTTTAGACCTAAAAAAAAAAGTGATCCCAGCATGTCCCTGGCAACATTCCCACATCCCAGCGCCTCCCAGGTGTGAACAAGCTGTTGGATTGGCAGCAAAAGCCTTCTGGCACCTCAGGGCTGATGTTCAGGTCGCTCCAGTGCAAAGCTCCTGGTGCTTCCCACGTGTTCTTGTGTTTAAGCTGTCGCTGTTTTGGTTGGGAATTTGGGGTTTTAAATGCATTTCTTTAAAACTGGGAGTGGTTTGTTTTTCTGGGAATTGGTGACTGGAGGGTTTTTGGAGCTCGTCAAGGGTGTGGTTCTGCTGAGGTGATGTTCCTTGAGCCCTGTGTTGGGGTCTGGAGCTCTGAGACACAAGGAACCAGTTCAGTCCCAGTGGATGGGAGATGGTTTTCTGCCCACCTTGAAGTGCTTTCGGGCTTTCCAAAGAGGTTAAACTGAATATTTGTCATGAAGTGGGATGGAAAATTTTTATTCCATCCCAGATGGATGCTTAGAGAAGCTGTGGCTGCCCCATCCCTGGAACTGTTCAGGTTAGACAGGACTTGGAGCAGCCTGGGGCAGTGGAAGGTGTCTCTGCCTGTAACAGGGGATTGGAACTGGATGAACTTTAAGGTTCCTTTCAATCCAAACCATTCCGTGATTCTCTAAAATAAGGACATAATTCCAGCTAAATCCCCACAAAACCAGTGCTCCTGTCTCCCAGGAGCAGGAAAAAGAGGAGCAAGATGCAGTGGGATGAGCACTGGGGATGTCTCTGTATCACTGTGGATGTTCCCACCCAACCAGTAGATTTATTAATTCTTTTTTTAGAATTTCCTACAGGAAAAAAGGTCTCTAGAACATCATGTGAGAGAAGAGCTGCTCAGGCCCCTGTGGAGGAGGATGGTGTCCTCACCACACACCCCCGAGAGTGGGATCCCTCTCCCAGCCCAACATTTTGGGGGTTATTTGTTGACTCCCAGTTTAACCCTGGGAAGCCATTCCCTGTGTCCTGTCCCTCCATCCCTTGTTCCAAATCCCTCTCCAGCTCTCCTGGAGCTCCTTTAGGGATGGGAAGGGACTCTCAGGTCTCCCTGGAGCCTTCTCTTCTCCAAGTGAACATTCCCATCTCTCCCAGCCTGGCTCCAGAGCAGAGGGGCTCCAGCCCTTGGAGCATCTCCGTGGCCTCCTCGGGACCTGCTCCAGCAGCTCCAGATCCTTGTGCTGATGATCCCAGAGCTGGATGCAGAACTCCAGCTCTGGCGCTCCGATATAAGGATGGTTTGAGGGTGTCCAAAGTCTCTCCCCATGAAAGTTCTTTGAGCAGCTGGAGGCTCCAGAGGGGCTCCATCCCTTCCTGGTGCTTCTCCATCAGCATCCTGGAGCCACGGGAACATAAATCCCCGGGACAGAGCCGTGGACAGCGGGAATCTTCCCCCATGGTGCTCTTTCCTGGGAATGCTGTGGGGCCAACACATGATCCTCAAGGATGAAAACTGTGCTTCCTCTTTCCCAGAGCCACTTTCCATAGCCTGGCCTTGGAAACACCATTCCCTGGGGGATGATCTGAGTCGTGGAATTCTTTAGCTTGGAAAACACCTTTAAGTTCCTCCAATCCAACCATTCCCTGCCGTGTTCACCATCACACCAAGTCCCCAAGTGCTGCTTTTCCAAGTCTTTTAAATCCCTCCATTGGGAATTGAGGGTTTTTTTTGAGGGATACCAGGTGGTTTTAGGTCTTGGCAAGCTCAGGTGGAGGCTCATCCCTACAGGATTCCAGCCTGGGTTTTGCTATTCCCAGGCTGGAATTGAGGGTTTTTTTGAGGGATACCAGGTGGTTTTTGGTCTTCAGGAGCTCAAGTGGAGACTCATCCCTGCAGGATCCCAGCCTGGGTTCTCAGGGAGCTGAGTATTCCAGGTTCCCACTGTTCCCATGCTGGAATTGAGGTGTTTTTTTTGTGGGATACCAGGTGGGTTTAGGTCTTAGAACTTCATTGGTGAGCTCATCCCTACAGGATTCCAGCCTGGATTCTTGGAGGGCTGTGCTGCTGTGAGTATTCCAGGTTCCTGCTCTTCCCATGCTGGAGTTGAGGTGTTTTTTTAGGGATACAAGGGGGATTTAGGTCTTGGTGAGCTCAGGTGGAGGCTCATCCCTACAGGATTCCAGCCTGGGTTCCCAGGGGGGCTGATTATCCCAGGTTCCTGCTCTTCCTATGCTGGAATTGAGGGTTTTTTTGAGGGATAGAAGGTGGGTTTAGGTCTTAGAACTTCATTGGTGAGCTCAGGTGGAGACTCATCCCTACAGGATTCCAGCCTGGGTTCCCAGGGAGGCTGATTATTCCAGGTTATTGCTCTTTCCATGCTGGAATTGAGGGTTCCTCGGGGGAAGGACAGTCCTGGGCTCTTTTATCTGCTCAGGGATGGCTTCTTCCCGCGGAGGAGCTGCAGAGAGATGAGTTTTTGGCTGATTCATCCCAGCTGGTGCCGAGAGAGGAGTGGGTGGGATGAAAACTCCTCCTGCTGGATCTGCTCCCTGGGGAAGGGGGGGGTTGGAAAACAAACCAGTGGGATCTGGCAGACGCTGAGAGGTGGGAAAAGCCTCGTGAGGGTTTGAGGGAGAGCAAGGGGAAGGCTTTCCAGAGGGTTCTCTCTCCTCTTGCCTTCTTCCCAGAAGGGTCTGATGTCACAAAAAAATGAAAAAAGAAAAAAAAATAGGGAAAAATGGACCAGAAACTTCCAAGTGGGATGTTTTTTATCGGTCTGAGAGGAAATGGATGAGAAAACATTTGAGTTGTCACTGCTGTGGTTCAGAGTCTGTCTCTGAACTCATGAATTTCCTTTCCCAACATGTTTTAGAGGCAGACAGGAGCGTGTCTGTGGTTTGGCATCGATAAAATATGTGTTTGAGGAGCTCCCTGCGTTTATTTTGTCCCTCAGCCAAGCTCAGCCTGATGTAAAACAAGCCCGAATTGGAGAGACATCCCCCTGTGCCACGTGCCTGGAAGTGCAGCTCGGCCGGTGATCCCAGGGAAGCAAACAATTAACCCCGGGAGAAATTGGATCCCTGGGATAAACCCGAGGACTGGCTAAGAAGGGGCAGGGGAAGGGCTTCCAAGGAAGGATCCAACTCCAGGCTATCAGGTTTGTGCCCTGTGAAGGAGAACTGACACTGCCGGTGATCCCAGGGAAGCAAACAATTAACCCCGGGAGAAATTGGATCCCTGGGATAAACCCGAGGACTGGCTAAGAAGGGGCAGGGGAAGGGCTTCCAAGGAAGGATCCAACTCCAGGCTATCAGGTTTGTGCCCTGTGAAGGAGAACTGACACTTGCTGTGGGCTCAGGAAGGAGGTGGCCGCATATCCAGGGTATCCCACTGGGAATGAGGGGATAACACACAGCCTGGCTCTTCCTAAAGTTGCTTTTTTAGCCCTAACAGGGATGGTTTTTTGTCCAGTGATTATTCAAATCAAAATAAAGACTTAGGAAGAGCTCGTCTGAGCTTGTCCCAGGCTCCAAGAATGGCTTTTCCAGGCCTTAATCCCGAGCCTCTGCAAGCTGGGACATGAGAAATCCCAATAAATTACTTAGTTAATATTCTTAATCTGGGTCTGGATTAAGCTGCAATTATGATTGATTGGCTTGGCTCAGAAAGAAGCCTTTGGATAAGTTGCTCTCCCAGCTGCAGGAGGGATCATAAGTTCCTTCTGCTGCCACGAGCCTGGAAAGAAAGGGATCATGGAATCATAGAATGGTTTGGGTTGGAAGGGAGCTGAAAAATCATTGTCTTCCAACCCCCTGCCATGGGCAGGGACACCTTCCACGAGCCCAGGTTGCTCCAGCCTGGCCTTGGACACTTCCAGGGATGGGGCAGCCACAGCTTCTTTGGGAATTCTCTGGGAATTCCATTCCAGCCCCTCACCACCCTCCCAGCCAAAAATTCCTTCCCTAAATCCCACCTAACCCTGCCTTCTGGCAGTGGGAAACCATTCCCTCTGTCCTAGTGATCTGTGGGTGTAAAAAATTCCTCTTCCATGTGATGTGAGCTCCCTGTGGAGCTTCCAGAGGTTCCCAGGGATTGCCCCGTGGTGCAGGAGGCAGACAGCTGATGCCTTCCCAAAAAAATGCTGTGATTCCAGCTGGGTGGTGGCACTCGGGGTGCCCCTCCCTTGCCAACAGGGCAGGAGATTTTCCTGCCAAGGTGGGAGAGACAAGGAAGTCTCTCATCCCACCCCAGAGGTCACTTAGAGCCGAATGAGCTCATGGATCTGGGGTTTTTGTTTGGGTTTTAAAGCTGTTCTGTGTCATTTCTCCCACCTGTTTCTCAAGCTTT